AGAATCATTTAGATTGCATTCCAGTTACTACTGAAAGAATTTGCTGGATGTTGGTTGCAGAAGACACCAAACTAATTTTACATATTAGGTGTTCATTCATTAAGACCTTTGAAAAATGGGACTGGAGATGGGCTCAGTGGTTAAAAACACTTGCTCTTGCAGAGGACCCAGGTTCAGTTCCCAGCATCCATACAGAGACTCAAAACCATTTGAATCTCCAAATCCATGGGATCTAGTGTCCTCATCTGCCCGCTAAGGGCACTGGGAACACATTTGGCACATATCCCTACCTGATGGAAAAATATTCACGCTTGCTAAGTAAACAAATCAATGAATAAATCTTATTTAAAGAAATTCCGAAGACCGAAGATAAATTCATCCTGCTACTTAAAGACTTCAGCTCTCACTAGTCCCGCTAGACTATTCAAAAATTTCAAACACACATAAAACTGGTAAGAATTATAAAGTCAATGCTCTTTTGTCAGTTCATTGTTGAGCCCTGATTTTCATTTTCTTGCATAGAAGTCAACTCTGTCTTATTTCCAGTGCATTTCAAATTCAGGCTGCAAAGGCAGTGTGTGTGTCACTCCTAAGCACGCGGTAATGCACAGTCAGGGTGTGGCTCTCAGGACCGAGTCTAACCTTCTTAGGAACAGGACAATAGCCAAGGTAATTGGGCTAATGGAAAATTAAGGCACAAATTACCTATGTGCTTTGAAAAGCTGTTTGGGGTGAAATGCTATCTCTAACAAAGCTGCAGCCACGCCCACATTTGTCCTCAGCAGACTGGATTCTGTACCCTGAAATTACCAATCTCCATGTAATTCTGGGGAAGTGGCTAACCTCATCCCTTACCCACCAGGATCCAAGTCAACGCCCTGTCATATGAACCAGGCACATAGAAGGGACAGCATATTGCAATTAATTTTACATTTGCTTTTTATTTATTAGTGGGATAGGGGTGCATTCATGAGTGTCACACAGCACATATGTGTAGATTCAGAGAACTTCTGGAAGTTTGTTCCCTCCTCCCAACATGTGGGTCCCAGGAATCCAGCTTAGGTCATCAAGCTTGCTGGGAAGCGCCTTTACCCACCGAGCTGTCTCACTAGTCCAAGACTCAGAAAACCCCGAGCAACTCAGCCACATCCGATAGTTGAAAGGCATTTTGCTTTCATGTTAAATACTCAAGAGAATTCTTAAGATGTGTATTCTCTGCTGCTTGATTATCAAAGCCAAAATTAACGCATCCAGGATGAAAATCTTTTGCATTTGTGCAAAAGTGTGCCGTACAAGTTCCCTTGACCAATTCTGTAGGAACGGTTGTTAAGTTATCCTCTCACTGATTCACATGCAATATATTTTCAAGGAACTTGTGTTCATTTTAATTATTGGAAAGTCGTAATTTTTGAATATGAAATCTTAGTTTTTAGAAGTCATGCTTTGAAGAAAAACATAGAGCTATAACGCATATGACCACTAGGGGGCAGAGGCTCAAAGCAAAAATCTAGTAAGCGCCACTGAAGTCCCGTTTTAATGAACCTTCCTTCACTGAAATTCATGTAATTGGATTCCAGTGGTCTTTCAATTATGTTTACAAAAACATATTTCGGGTGCCTTTATTTCTGTAATTATGTCCAGTGCCTTGGGAAAGGATTCTGTGCTTGTTTTGTTGAAACACATAAAAGCAGCCATTATGGCTTGGCCTGGGGAGAAATGCAATCAAAAGTATTGATTTCTTTGAGCTGGACACAGATTTTGGCTTTTGCATTTAATCTCACATGCCAGTCTGGTGGGCATGACTTGATTTTCCAATCATACCAAAAAGTTAAATTGAGTATTTCACAACTGGAGTTATTTAACCATTTTATTTCTTTGCTTTTTTATGTCAATGCTGTTTTAGTGCGACAGGGTGAGTTCTTTGGCAACAACGTTCGCCTGCTTATGTGTCTCTATCTAGCTATGATTTATTATTATATTAATGCTTCCTGGAGTTGCCATTACCATAGAACACAGAACGCCCGCTATTTAAAATATTTAGACTTTGAACTATCACACGTTCTAAGGGAACCTGTCTGGCCTCTGGTTTCCCGTGAATAGATTTCAGTGCAGATTTTCAGAACCTTCTTTGACTACTTTGCCATGGGGCTGAAAGCAAGGCCCACCTGGGCGGCTGAGAGGAAGCCAGGAGACAGTAGTGTCCAGGCTACTGGGCCTTCGGCTACTTCTGTTACCAGTTTCCCATAGGGAAACTGTCAGCTGGACTCCTTTACATACCCTTGACAACCGGTCAACAGCAGTCTATCGTTTGTCATCGCGGCTGCGCACTAACGCATGACGTTCGTCTCCAGAAAAAATCCTCAGAGGCCCTGGCGACTACACAAGGAGCCTCAAACAGCTCCTCACTCTCCCTCTTCTCCTGGCATGTGTTTGGCAGGGCAGAAGTGTGAGCTGCATGTTTGTCGGACCCTGGCCCAGGGTCTTTCCAGCACACAGCATCCCTTCAGCATTCTGGCTTCAGGGTTCCAGGCAAACTCTGCTCCTCCAGTCATGGGTGCAGAAGTCTGCTCCGGGGCTAATGCAGTCTGAAGGTTCATCTTGACCTTTTGGTCATTTGAGAATGTGGGAGCTCACATGAATGTTTCATTTTCCGTCCTTTCTCAAAACCTGGCAGCTGCAGGTGGAAACTGAGCAGGGTCTGGCCTACCTATAAGAGCTTTTTCTGGCTTTAGGTATGGCTTCCCTTTTCCTTCCCAAGGGTCCAAGTCATTAACTCGAGGGGTGGAGGAGGTGTCGTTGTTGTTTTGTTTTTGTTTTTCAAGAAAACCATGAAGACCATTCTCTGTGTATAATGCATCCTACATGGAAAAATCTGGCGACATTGAACAAGCCAAAACAAAAGCAAAACAAACAAAAAGAAACCCTGTAGAGGCATTCCATTTGTAGTCTCAGAAATAAAGCTTACCTGAAGATCAGACAAGTAAAACAGCCACACCGGCACCAGCCTTACACACCAGCCACTGATGGCACTCACCTTTAATTGCAGTAGTCACAGTAACACATACCTTTAATCCCAGTAGCCGCACTTGCTTGTCATAGAAACCAGGTGGTAATGGTGCACACCCTTAGTCCCAGAACTAGAGAGGATTATAAAACGGGAGGAGACAGCCCTCAGTCACAGTCTCATTCTGAGATTCCTGGAGGCAGGATCGCCATTTCGAACTGAGGTCGCAGTAAGAGCCAGTGGCTGGCTGCTTTGTTCTCCCGATCTCTAGGCAAGCTTTATTTATTAAAATACAATCAAAATGATACAGTAAAACTCCACCCATATACTGCATTCAAGAGGCTCTCATTTGCAATGTTGAGCTGAACAAAGAACATACCATCATTCCCCTTGACATACGACTCTAGGGAGAATTTTCTTGATGGATACTAACTAAATGTAACCATACCAGAGCTTACCAGTCAGAGATATCCATCCATCCAAAGACATAATTTCACAATAGTGAGACCTAATGCTTCTAGGTTATGTGGCTAGGCTCCTGTCTCTCCTACATGATGCCTGGTCTGGTACCAGGGCTTATTTTTCTTCCACCCATCCCAGGGAGACCATCTACACTGAAGAGGTCTAATCCATGAATAGGGCTGTTTGTTAAGTTAAGGATGCCTTGAGGGACTGATTCCATACCAGCTCTGAGGCCGGAGGAGGAGGACCATGAGTTCAAGGCCATCCACAGCTCCAGAGTAAGGCTTTGTTTCAGAAATGAAAAGCAGTGATTTGGGGCGAGAAGAGAATATGAATCAGTGCTGCCATCTAGATTCCTGGCTTCCTTTGGTCAAATTGCCAGCCTGCTATTTGAAATTTCGTGCCCAAATGTCACAGTGTTGGGGTCCAGGTGACCCATGGAAGAAGACATTCCTACTGTACCTTGGAAATGCACTACATAGCAAAATGCTGTAAAGTCGCCACGGATAAAACTTGCAGCAGACGTGGAGAGCGAGTCTAAAATAGCTGGCAAGCACCTGGAACGTTGGAAAGCGTGGCTGAAGTACTGAGAAATTATACAGACAATTATTTTATAAGAATCGCCACTGATTCAGCAGATATTTATCGACCGTTTGCTTTGAATTAGACATAGCAGCTGGAGTGGGTAGAGCGAAGGGCTCATGAGTCTTGATAGTTATCATCAGGCATTGGTAATGTCGCACGGTCTTAACTGTTTCACGTGCTTATTTAGCTTGTCCCAGAAAGTGTTCTAGGTACTTAACAAACATTGACTGTTGATAGACAATACTATGACCTCAAATTCATCATGGACAAAGATGGGAAACAGCACAGAGAGTTAGGTGATGTGTTAATGGCGTACTGGATTCAAATCCAAGGACATCTGGCTCCAAAGTCCGCGCTCATACCCACCACATCAGTTCTTGCTGCGGCATGGAAGCTGACGGCATGAAACGAAATGCTTGCCATCTGCTTCCATGTGACTTATTCAGCAACGCAGCTCCCCCATCCTGGACCTGGTTTGCATCAATTTAGCTATCTCACGCGAGTGTGTATTCAGCTAGGGCTGTCTATCCCAGGACATCCCAGCCAGAAGGGCTTAGCTGTCCTTTGGCAGCAACTCTAATCTCCCTGCTATAGCCGGGGTCTGCTAAGGAGTGGTCAGATTCGTGTCTCTGTGGTTCCTTGTGTGCGTTATGTTTGCTACTCTCTCATTTGATGGAAATACACCGCCTGATCTGATCCAGAGGCATTGTGGGAAGGCTCTCTCCAAGAGCATGGGCAAGTTGGAGTGAAAACCAGAGCCTTTGGGACAATTAACCTGCTACTTTGTGATTTTACATTGTGCTGAGTTAATCTTGCTTTCCAGGCAGTTTCCAATCTGGTGTTTCATACTCCAAATGAATTGTGAGAATGTCACAGTGGGTAGCCTTATTGGTATAGGAAGACAATAAAAATGATTTGAAACAAAATTAAAAGGTGTTTGTGATTTTAGGCTGAGCCTGGGGAAACCTCATCAGAGGCATCGAGTGAAGCCAGGACAACGCCAGCAGAAAATGGGGTGAATCACACAACATCCCTTGCCCCCAAACCACCTTCCCAGGCTCCACACAGCCAGCCAGCTCCAGGTAAACAGTGGGGACGGTGCTGTTTCTAGATCTCCTGCCTTCAGGTTCCAGCGCCTCTGCAGAAGGCTAGGCTCTGAGGAAAGAATGCATGCCCTCGCGTGACATGAGTGGGTGGGCAGCAGGATGGATGGACGGATGAATGTCCCAGGGCCACCTGTGTCGTGGGCTGTTATTTGGGGGTGAATTCTGGTCGACCCACTGATAGAGTTGCATTTGTTGCATTTGTTACATTTGTTGCATTGTAAGTTGCATTCTTCAAGCAGCTTGCAACTATGCAATAGAAGTACCTTTTGTATTCTACTTCAAGTCTCTGCCACAACTGACTTTCCAGGAACCTTAAATGTCTGTCCACCCTAGGCTGTCTGCTAGGCCATGCATATGGGTTAGGTCATTTCATCGTCTTCCCAGTCCTCCACGGGGTGTGTTCTGTTGTTGTCTCATTTGGGAGGTGATGAAGAACTTTCCCGAAAGGCACAATGCCTGTGGAGGAAAAGCCAGGTCAGACAGTACCCAATACAACTAAAGCGCTTGCTATTAGCTTCTCATCTTCACCCAAGGCTACACTCAGTTGTCTCATTTCTCAGAGAAATTCTGTCATTTCAATGCAACTCACAATGGCATTCCATCTCACTCTGGTTAATGTGAGTGAGTGTGTGTGTGTGTGTGTGTGTGTGTGTGTGTAATGTTAAAATGGTATGTGAGTGTGGATGGTGTGTGTGTGTGAGGGGGCCGAAGGTTTGGGGGTTTCTGTGTATGTTTCTCTTAACAGACTGGCCTTCCCGAGAGAGGGCCCTGCTTCACGCATCTTCTGCAGTCACCCGGTGCTAAGGAGCAGCGTGATTATGATCCGTCTAGTTGAATCAGTTAATAAAATAGGAGGGGAAAGAATTTCCTCTGTAAGAGTGACTTCGTGCCCTTTTCCTTCTCTGTCATGGTGAGACATGGCAATGGTGAAGTTCTCATCTTCCCATTGGTGTGCAAAGGCTACTAGTTTATAAATACAGACCCTACTTCATTCGTATCAAGCAAGAATGAACTGAAAGTCGGAAGGAAGTCAGTGAAGTCAGCAGCCCGAGAGCTCACTGTAGCCAGGAAGCGTCGTTTTCAAATGGTTATTCTTTGCCACATGAGGACATTGGCGGTGCTTCTCAACCACAGTTTATTGTTACTGGGAATAAAAGAGAATTTAACATTTTACCATTTTAATTTTTAAGTGATACTTAAAAATAATTCGGCTTACAGAAGACATTTTTTAAATAAATTGTACAAAATGTGTGGCACCATTCTCCTCTTCCCCTAAAGTCAGCTTTGAACAAGATCACAGTAAACCCTCATGACTGTCAAGCCTTGTGTGAACTCGGCCTTCGTCACTCCAGTGTCCATTTATTGCGGCAGATTCACGCTTGGCGTCCCACACTGCTCTTGCTCAGCGTGTCTCCTCGGTCGCCTTCGCTCCATAATAGCTCCTAACTCTTCTTTCTCATATCCTTATAGTTTTGAGGAATTCTGGTCAATTATTTTTTTTAAATGTCTCTCACTTCAAGCTGCTTCAGGTTGAGGTTCTGATATTGACGTGTCCCATCCTGGTGAAATGGGGGCCCTAATTCAAAACTTTCCCTCTGAAGGTTTTGGTTCACATTCATAGGTGTGTGGGAAGAGGCATTCTGGGGTACAGGCATACCCTATCTTTTTTCCCTTGACTGTGAAACTCAGTTCTTTGGTCCACATTCCTGATGTTGCCAGAAGATGGCAGTAGCTCTACTGAGATTGAATTTCTTGTTTTGAAATTTCAAATGCAGGTGGAGGGATGTCTCCATTTGCCAGGGAATATGTGGAAAATACATACAATTGCTCATCAACATAGGATTAAGTCCAAGTTGCAAATTAATGAGTAATTTTTTTGTAAATAACTTTCTCCTACAATTAGCCATTGTATCGACAGAGACTTAGAATCAGAGGGCACAGTTCCCCCATACTGGAGATGAAACCCAAATGGGCCAAGTGCTCTACCACTGAACTACCACCCGAAGTCCAAATATTTCTTTTTAAAATTGGGATAGAAATTTGAAAATCAAAGAAAGCCATTTCTTTGATCTTTTTGGTTGCAGGTTCTGTGAAGGCGCCGGCCAAAACAGAAGACCTGGTCCAGAGTGTCTTAACAGGTGAGTGCCAGCCTTTCCTCTGCACAGAAGGTGGCAACTGAGCATTGCACAGTGGGAGTTGAGAGGGGAGGAGATTGCCATTTACCTCTGAAAACGAGCATCATTGCATTGTTTTACGTTTCTAGACATCTGGCCTGAGTTTGGTCACATTGTCTAATGTAACATCTTGGCCTGAGTTTGGTTACATTGTCTAATGTAAAGTCCCAGAGAAGTAGCCAGAGCTGGCAGATAGGACTGTATTGGCTACAAATAATAGTTACTGAAGATTCCTATTTCAGAAAAAAAAATAATAGTTTCCTCCTGGCTACAAGAACCAGTTAACAGGAATGTTGTGTCTCCCTACAGTGCTGGCAATAAGTTGTATTTCACATATGCAGAATACAGCATATCTATGTTTGTAATCATGGAACCCACACTGTTTGTGATCTTTGATATGAACTTGGGTTAGTTCATATCATCAAGCAAAGGGACTCAAGTTGACCTAAGCTTTCTTGAGTACAATTAGCACTTACTATGTAGTGGAGTCTTAAAACTGTTTTGAGTATCTGGCACAAAATAGAACAAGAAGGTATGCACACATGCATCAAAATTAAAACCTCTCCTAGGAACCAGATGTTGGCCAACAGTGAGGCAGGTAAGTGCATTGTGACGCAGTCCCAGAGTGGAATGGGGGCGGGTAACTATACATACAGGTCGTGATCTCCTAAAGGCAGACAGCCAAGGCGTAGTGCTGCGAAAAAGACTGAGACATGAGGAAGCTAGATCTCACCTGCCTGAAGATCAAAGACAGATAGGCAAAATTATTCACTCCACTGGAAACCTAGGCTTAGATTATGCTTTGGGGAAGGGAAAGGAGGCAGGTTCCAGAAGACATCTAGGGTCCTGGCAGTGTTCTGGTTTTTACCTGGTGATAGTTAGTCACTGAGGCATATGAACTTTAAAGACAAAAAAAAGGACTGGGGATTTTGGATATATGCACTTCATGCACATAGTTATATTTCATCAAAATATATAAATCACACCTGGAAAAATTGTAAAAAAACTTAAAGATCACAAAGCATACTTTAAAAGAGTTCCGTGGGAAGCAACACTGATGTATTAGACAACACCGATGCAGGAAATAAGATGCTGGAGTGTTATCTAAAGACATATAAATGGATACACAGAGGCAGTGGGTCTGCACCCCCACCCTGACTACGGCCGACTCTGGGCAGCTCACCCAGTTGTGATACTGTGTCTTTATGCAAATGGACATTACTCTTAGCTCTGGGGATATTCCAAGGGATAGCCTTTTGCCCGGAGACTTTTTCAAAGGCAATTTAGGGTGCCTTTTTTCTAGAGCATAGGGAGTCCCATTTCTAAACTGTCCATGGCTGATGTCCAGAAACCTTTTTTTTTTTTAAAGTGAAGTGGAGTTGGTTACCAGAAAATGTGGCAATTCCTCAGGACTACAAATTCTTAATGCTAGCGCTCATTATTCAACCACCAGGAGTCGATTTGAGCCTGAGGGAAACCGTTAAATAAATGTACCTAGTTTTCTCCTCAGCTTCTTTCTTTAAAAGGAAGAAGAATTAGCTGTCAGGGCAGATGCATGGTAAGAGCAGAAAACGCTCCTTTGACTGTTTAAAAGCCTTGGTATTTAGCAGCAGAAATTACTGTTCCCGTTCTTCTCTTGATGTGCAATCCGTTTAGTTTTCTCTTCAGGTTTGTTGTGATTGGTGGCATACATCATTTTCGAATGGCTTGACAGTTCTAAATATTTATTGTATCTTTGTCGTTGTTGTTCCCCAAGCAGGAACTTCCTATCGAGAAATGGAAACATATGCATTCTGACTTAATCTGGCTCCAAATAAAGGATAATTCATTGAAATTCAGGCACCAGACATTGAAAGACCTCCCCTACCCCCATTCTTATGCTACTAGGAAAGGGAATCTAGTATGGAATCTTGATTTAAGAAGTGATAATGCATTTTTAAAATGCACCTCATGGAGGTGGTGAAGTGTGCGTATGAAGTACGGCATAGTTTATGGCCAGGTTTTGTCACATTGACCTTTTTTTCTCAACATTGAATAAACACTGCAGCTGTACAGGTGACACTAGCTCTACTGGGGCCTTGGTGAAAATTAAAGGTCACCTTCTTGACACAGTCGACCTCCATATCCACTGAGACACAGGGAGAAACCTATGGTGTGTCTCCTGTCAGTGTGTTCCCTGCGAGATGCTGAACCTGTGTGATTATTTGCTAAGCCTCCACAGTCATGGTACCAAAAACTTCTCAACACTTCCCATGAATTTTCTGTATCTCACTACCAGACCAGCCTTGTGAACTAACAGCAGTGTCCTCATCCGTAAAACGGACGAAGCGGGAGGCCTGCTCTCTCTTGCTCTGTTCCCAGCTGTAGTGAGGCTAGGCTGCTAAAATCCAGTTTGTGCTTCTCTGCAAATTTGCCTTCTCTCTAAAGGGAGGTTCCCCCTAGAAAGTTGTGTCCCCCTTCTGAGTGTCCCAAATTCACAAGAAGCTGGCCTTCTTTATTCATGAGGAGACTAGCCCTGGTGGGCCAGTGCACACTTGGGGTTCCCCTGGGGGATTGTTCAGAAGCACATTGGAGTCGCTGTGCACCTTGCTCAGTTGTTTCCACCGCTGCTCTGCTTCTCTCCCCCTGCACCCCCACCCCGTCCCCTCCCGCAGTGAGTCACAGGCGCCAGAATCCCCATCCTAGACTCTATTTCTAGGGAAACCAAACTTAAAAGCTACAGATGAAGGAACTGGGGCTCTGCAAAGTTTGGTCACGCCTTGCTAAACTGGTGAATCCGAGCAGTTGGCCCATAGGTCTGACATTCAGCTGTGCTCTCCAGCTGCTCCGGCAGGGGTGGGCTGCTCCTCCCTGAGCAGGATGCCCGTCCCCTTCCTCTGGACTCTCTGTCCGCCCTGTCACTCAGCTCTCATGCCCTCATCTGTTACAGAAGTAGAGGCGCAGACCATCGAAGAGCTCAAGCAACAGAAATCGTTCGTGAAGCTTCAAAAGAAGCACTACAAAGAAATGAAAGACCTGGTCAAGAGACACCACAAGAAAACGGCCGAGCTCCTCAAGGAGCACACCACCAAGTACAATGAGATTCAGAATGACTACCTGCGGAGGAGAGCAGCCTTGGAAAAGTCCGCCAAGAAGGACAGCAAGAAAAAGTAAGTCGATGGGTACTTGCTAATTTTATACCGTGATGGAAGAGATGCTGCCCCCCTCCTCCCGCGAGTGATGGCATATGTGTTGTGTCGCATTTTTTTAATCTGTGCCACCTCGGGGAGGACAGTCACACCACGAGGAGGACAGTCACACTGCAGGAAAGAAGTCACACCTCAGGAAGGACAATCACACCACGAGGAGGACAGTCACACCACAGGGAGGACAG